CGTTCCTTCATTTCTATACTGTCAGGATTTGGGACACACACACACACATACCCAGCATGTTTTTCAAAGTTGTAAGACCAGCACTTAAACTATGGCTGGCCATGTAGGATCTGGCTCTCACTTTACAGCCAATGAACGGGGCCAGCCGCTGAGCCTTTTCTCACTTTGTCCCCCTGTGAGTGTTCTGTTCTTGCTTTCTGGCCTGGCCCGTGATAGTGCAGGACCTCTGACTATCTTGACTTTTAGTGCCATGGTCCAGGCCCAGCCTCACTACTGACTGGTGTGGCCCCAACAGGTCATTTATCTTCTCTACTTTCCCTGAATGCCAGCTGTCCCATTTATGAAATGGGACAGTAATAGGAAGCCTCAGGACCAGCAATTGATGTAATGGCCATGTTGCTGGACTTCCATGTAGTTGACTGCGGTTCGAATCCTGGACCCAGTGGCTTAAACTCATGCCAGGTGCATGTGTGTGTGTGCCCAAGATCCAGAGAGGAAAATGGAGGAGAAGAGATTATGGCATGGCCATCCCCCCTAAGGGGTAATTTCTCACTTCCTATCTGTCTGTCTCTGTCTTTCTGGCGAGCGCACACGCCCTATAACAAAAACCTCTCAAAAAACAAACACAAGGAAGCCCCGGTGCTGTGTGGGACTTAAATGGCTAATGCCTCCATAAAGCTCAGTCGGGTTGCCAATGGTACCGGGTACCTACAGGCTAGTCTAGAGAGAAGGGGTTGGGGTGATTCAAGCTGGGCTCCGCATGGGCTCTGATTGAGGCCTGGCATCTAGGAGCCTGGCAGACCTGCCTCCATGAGTGACCCTGTGTCTTTCACCCTCTCTCCTTGTCGCCCGACCAGCTGTGGGACCTGCTGTACAAGCTGCGCTTTGTGCTGACCTACATCGCACCATGGCAGATCACCTGGGGCTCGGCTTTCCATGCCTTTGCCCAGCCCTTCGCCGTACCACGTATCCCACCTGCTGCCCACTGTCGGGGTGAGGGTGTGCAGGGAGGGCTGCAGCCTGGGCCGGTAGTGGGTGATGAAGGAATCTGGGGCAGTCCCACGTGTCTGTCACCTCCTTGACTTGTGCCCAGACTCGGCCATGCTGTTTGTCCAGGCCCTGCTTTCGGGGCTCTTCTCCACACCGCTCAACCCCCTGCTGGGTAGCGCTGTCTTCATCATGTCCTATGCACGGCCCCTCAAGTTCTGGGAGCGGGACTACAAGTGAGTCTCAGGGATTTAGGGATGGGCGCCCAGCAGAGAAAGAAGGGATGGGTTTGGAGCCCAGGCTGGACCACACTCAGGAAGCGGCCTGCAGCAGGTCTTGAGTGCTTGGGCAGGTGGAGGGCGCTTGAAGTAGTGGGCTCAGCCTGGAAGCAGTGAGGCCTGGTGTGGGGCCCAGCCTGGCTGCGTGGTCCTGAGTGAATCCTCTCATGTCCCTGAGCCTCAGCCTTATCATCTGTCATGGGGCTGTCATCGTTGGCACTTGCCTCAGCACAAAAGTGGGCTCAGAGGACACACTGATGGGCAGGCAGAAATCGTCATCTGAACTGTCAGTCACCTCTCTCAGCCAACTGTGCTGTTGCTCTTTCTCTGGACAGCACTAAACGTGTGGATCATTCCAACACCCGCCTGGTTACGCAGCTGGACCGGAACCCTGGTGTGTACCCAATCCACGGGGCTTTAGGGCAGGGCCCTTCCAGGGATGGAGTCTTGCTTACCTTCACTTGGCCTATTTGTCTGTCTGTCCCAGGCGCTGATGACAACAACCTCAACTCTATTTTCTACGAGCACTTGACACGCTCACTACAGCACACGCTGTGTGGGGACCTGGTGCTGGGCCGCTGGGGCAACTATGGCCCTGGCGACTGCTTTGTCCTGGCTTCTGACTACCTCAATGCCCTGGTGCACCTCATCGAGGTTGGCAATGGCTTCGTCACCTTCCAGCTGCGTGGCCTTGAGTTCCGGGGTGAGCCTCGGGGTGGGCAGATGCTGCCTGGGCCTCATGTAGGGCTTCGTGTTTGATAGTGCGTGGGCCTGGATTCCAGTCCAGCTCTGCTCTGGCTGACTGGGTCATCTTGGGCAAGGCACTCTTTCCTTGGGCCTGGGTTTCCCGATCCACTCCTAGAGAACAGTTGGTGAGCCTCCTGCAGCCCCATGCTGCCAAGAGGAGCAATGAGGTGGCAAGGTCTCTTGGTTAAGCTCTGTCGCTGCCCTAACTGGGTCCATAGTGACTCTGCAGGCCACTGTGGTGACGGCTTGGACCTGGAGCCCTGGGTTCTCATGCCAGCTCTCCCCAGACTGCTCTGTGGTCTCAGGCTTGGCCCCCGGGGAGTGTGCCAGCTTCTTGTTGTCGGGAAGACGGATGTGTTGGATGCCAGCTTCAGAAGAGGCCTCAAAGGTGCTGAGAGGCCCTAAGCACAGCTTGTGAGCACCATGACCTTGTTCAAGTCACATCCCCTCTTTGAGTTTCAGTCTTCGCTTCTATAAATGAGGAATCCAGATCCTTCTGCCCTTACACCACCCCATCCCCCCTTAGCTGCTGGGAGTTAGGAGGAAGAGGATCATTCGCTAATTTATCCATTAGTAACATTTACTCATGTGGATGGGGTGGAGGGTGAGCGGTAGCAGGCCTTGGACACTGGCTGAGGAGGCAGGCAGGATTGCCCAGTGGCCCCCTGACTGAGCACCCCTCCCACAGGCACATACTGCCAGCAGCGCGAGGTGGAGGCCATCACCGAGGGTGTGGAGGAGGATGAAGGCTGCTGCTGCTGTGAGCCCGGCCACCTGCCACGGGTCCTGTCCTTCAATGCCGCCTTTGGGCAGCGCTGGCTGGCCTGGGAGGTGACAGCCAGCAAGTATGTGCTGGAGGGCTACAGCATTAGTGACAACAATGCTGCCTCCATGCTGCAGGTCTTTGACCTCCGCAAGATCCTCATCACTTACTACGTCAAGGTATGGCAGGCAGGTGCCTGGCTGGGCAGGGGGTCCCGGCTGGTGAACGCTCACTGACTGGGGTGATCTGGATTGCTGGCTGTTTTGTCCAAGGGAAGCTGAGAACTCAGAGGGTTAAAGGATCTTCCAAGGTGCCAACAGGCTCTGATGATAGGGTACCCAGAGCAGCCCTCCACATGGAGGCAGTGAGTGTGGGGCCAGGTGGGCAGCATGTGCTCAGATCCCCTCGCTGGGCTGCTAGTCCCAGTAGGCGCAGTTGCTGAGACCAGCCTTTGAGACCCAACAGCGCCTACGAGGAGTAATGGTGCTGACGGTGTCACGTTGATGGTACTCACAGGAACACCTGCCAAGCAGCAGGGCAGACTGTTAGGCACCTTTCTTGAGCTGGCTATAGTTCCTCCTGCCTCCCAGAGAGGCCCCATGCCTCACAGGTGTAGAAGGTGGTTCGCAGAGGTGAAGCAATGTGCCCGAGGCTGCAGAATTAGGAAAAGGCAGCAGAGCCAGGTTTTGGAGCCACGCCAGGCAGCTTGGCCACTGGACTTTGCTATCTGCCTGGGGCTTCATACTAGGCCCGAGGGTCTCAAGACATACTGGTGGTGGGGGTTGGTGAGGCACAGTGGAAGGCACAGGAGCCCAGGCTGGGGGTTCTAGGCAGTGTCACTTCCCTTGCTGTGCCTCAGTTTATACCCCCCTCCAAGAAATGGGAGTCCTTGCGATTCTGTGAAATGAGGGTTTAGGGCGCTAAGAATAGAGTACTATGGGAGTGGGGTGGGTTATTGGTCACATCTCCATGTACCCTCTTAGGATATGCCTTGGAGCTTCCCATCTGTGGCTTGGAGCAGTGACCCATTGGGGCCCAAGTGCGTTTGCCCACCTGAGGGTCTCTCTGGGTCAGTCCCATGAAGCCCCATTGGGTAGTCCATCCATGTCACTCATCAGCGAAGCTGTAATTTCTGTCGTTCTGTCTTCCCCACCACTCTTAGGGAAGGGTTTGTGAGCCTCCCCATGTCCCACGCCGCCAAGAGGAGGCCATGGTCCAGAAATGAGGGATATCCCCAGCCTCAGGACGCTAGGGATCACCGTCTGCTTTCCTGTCCCATCTCTAGAGGCACCCTCGCCAGGTCCCCCGCTCCCTCCTAGGAGCTCTGCTCCCAGCTGCACAGCCTTCTGCTGGCCCTGGCCTTCGATGGCTGCCAGGTGGAGACAGGCGTCCACCCTGCCAGGTAGTCCCACGGGGAAGCTGCCTTGCCATGGCTAAGGCTGCCTCAAAAGTCTGGGCAGAACCAGAGCAAGCAGAGGTGCCTGGAGGGCCTGGGGGAGGCTTTCTAAGGACTTGGAGTGTGGGGAACTTTGGTTGGATGGGGCCTGGGGGAGGCAGGTGCACAGGGAGCCCAGTGAGTACATCGGGAAGTACTGGGGGAATTTTCTTTCCAGCCTTCAAGGTTGGCCAGACCAGGCAGAGCCCTTTCTGTGCAGCCTTGGCTCCCTATAGTGCCCTCTCCATACTTTGCCCTTCCCATGGGAGTTGCAGAGCAGTGGGCCACTTGGTCCAGCTCCTGCAGCTGCAGAGACACAGGCCCCCGCATTCTCCACACCTGAGCCTCAGCTCAGGGGATCCTCACAGATTTTCCTAGCCTAGGCACGTTCGTTATCACCTTGGACCCTTTCAGCAAGCCTTGAAAGGGGCAGGGCCAGTGTAATTGGCACCTTTATAGTTGAGGACACGGGTCTCAGGCCTCCCTCACAGTCTGGTGAACACGAGAGCAGGATAAAGTGCACAGCACTGCTCGGGACGCACGGCAGGTGGAGCCCAGCTCACCGACCAAAGGCTCCCCTGCAGGAGTTGTTGCTCACATCGGACCTGCGTCCAGTTTCCTTCTCGAGAAGCACCCTGAGGTGGGAGTACCACAGAACATGATGGCGGTGGCCAGAGTTATCCAAGCAGCCTGGTCCTCCCCTGCCCCCGAAGCTTTTCCTTTCTGGGTCTCCTCAAGGGCTGTGGTGACGCTCAGGCTATGGAGGTGCTCCCTAGGACAGAAGTCAGTGTGGGGTGGGGCTGTCTGAAGCCTGAAACTGCCCACCTCACTCCTTTCCTCTCGGTGAGGGGCCAGCCCAGCACTCCCCGGCCCTCCACCTGCCCATGGTGAAGGGGATGTAGGGGCCAGGTCAGCCCCCATGTGCCAAGAGCTCAGGAGGCTCCTCCTGTATAACCACTGACTTTAGGGAGCTATTTGAGACCCTGGGCTCCTCCTGACTTGTACTCTGGTCACTCTGACCAGTCTCTTGGTCTCTCTACAGTCCAGTATAGCCATCCTGCTAGACTCCGCTACTGCCTGAGTACCCTTCGCTATGGCTAGCTGCGTCACTTTCCCAGCCCTCCCCACCCTTTACCCAGGCAAAGGGCCAACCCCTCGGCTCCATCTCGGGGTGGCACACGGGATCCCCGTGCCAGCCTCAAACTGCCTATCCGTCCTGGCTGTGTTAGCTGCCCACCTTCTGAAAACTCCTCTCCACTTGCCTGGACCCTTGCTTAGAAACCAGTAGGGCTAGAATCTCAAGAAGGCGACCAGGCACCCTAACTTGGGGTATAAGATACTGTGCCCCTGACTTCTTTCTTTTTTAATTTTTTTTAGAGGTCTTTCCTGTAGAGCACATGTGCTTGCCAGAGAGACAGACAGACATAGTGAGAGGGGAAGTGAGAAATCACCCCCAGAGGGGATGGCCACCCTGTAATCCCTGCTCCATTCTCCTCCCAGGATCCTGAGCATACATGCTTGACATGATTTTGAAGCCATCAGATCTGGGACTTGAACTATAGTTGGCCATGTAGGAGTTCAGAAACATAACCTCTATGTCATCCGCTGGCCCTTCTCTGATTTCTTTTTATTTTTTAAAGAATTCTTTTCCTGGCACTAGCAGTTAGCGTAATGGCTATGTCGCTGAACTCCCACATAGTCAATCATGGTTTGAGCCCCGGACCCAGTGGCTTAAATTCATGCCAGGCGCATGTGCGTGTGTGCCCAAGATCCTGAGAGGAAAATGGAGGAAAAGGGATTGTGGTGTGGTCATCCCCCCCCGGGGGGGGTGATTTCTCGCTTTCTGTCTCTCTTGTCTTTCTGGCGGGCGCATGCGCCCTATAGCCAAAAAAAAAAAAATTATTTTACTTTATATATTTTAATTTGGCCAGAGAGAGAGAGAGAGAAAGCAAGCTGCCAGGTCCAGGACTTGAACTGTGGTTGGCCATGTGGGAGTCCAGTGCCCTTAATCACCATGCCACCTGCTGTCCCGCTGACTTTTTTTCTTTTTTTTTTTTTTGGAGAGGTTTTCACTATAGGGTGCATGCGCTCGCCAGACAGACAGAGAGACATAGAGACAGAAAACGAGAAATCACCCCCCAGGAGGGATGGTCACGCCGCAATCCCTTCTCCTTCATTCTCCTCTCGGGATCTTGGGCACGCACGCACACACGCCCGGCATGAGTTTTAAGCCACCGGGTCCGGGACATGAACCGTGGTCGACTACGTGGGAGTCCAGCGACATAGCCATTATGCTAACTGCTGGTTCCCAACCGCTGACTTTTTTTTATTTTTTTAAGAATTATTTTATTGGGACCAGCAGTTAGTGTAATGATTATGTCGCTGGACTCCCACGTAGTCGACCGTGGTTACCCTAACCTCTCCAAAAAATTTATTTTATTTAACTTTATTTACTTATTTATTTAAATTTGACAAGAGAGGGACTGAGAGAGAGGAGAGAAAGAGAGAGAGAGAGAGATAGAAAGAAAACAAGCCACCAGGTCCAGGACTCGAACCATGGTCAGCCATGTGGGAGTCCAGCATCCTTAACACCTGCTGGCCTCTCTGACTTCTTTCTGAAAAGAGGTTCTTGGGAACCAGCAGTTAGCGTAATGGCTATGTCGCTGGACTCCCACGTAGTCGACCGCGGTTCGTGTCCCGGACCCGGTGGCTTAAAACTCATGCCGGGCGCGTGTGCGTGCGTGCCCAAGATCCCGAGAGGAGAATGGAGGAGAAGGGATTGCGGCGTGACCATCCCCCCTGGGGGGTGATTTCTCGCTTTCTGTCTCTATGTCTCTCTCTGTCTGTCTGGCGAGCGCACGCGCCCTACAGTGAAAATCTCTCAAAAAAAAAAAAAAAA